CTTTGGGTCATGACCGAAAGGGCAAGATCCCGGATACAGGCGGCTGAAATGAGCTTCCTCTGCACGGTGGCCGGGCGCACCCTTAGAGATAGGGTGAGGAGCTAGGTCACCCGGGAGGAGCTCAGAGTAGAACCGCTGCTCCTCCACATCGAGAGGAGCCAGCTGAGGTTGCTCGGACATCTGTTTCGGATGCCTCGTGGGCGCCTTCCTAGGGAGGTCTTCCCCAGGGCCTCCTCCCGGTGGGACATGCCCGGAACCGAAAGTCCAAGAATTTAATGTGGGAGGACGTCCCCACGTCGCTTGTTCGGGCTAAACCCAGCCGGGCCTCGTCTTTGTTTTCACATGTATTTATTTACTTTGGAATATTTATGTACTTCTACATTTACTAATTTCTATATTTGTTCTTCCATTATGTTATTAAGTGATGCTGTTAGATATCATAGCCCCATTACTGTTCTCACTGGCTGATCAATGTCAGTATGACAAGTATGACAAGAAGCGGCTGCGATGGGGATTTGTTAACCTATCAACAGTGGTGAATAAAACAAGTGTTATTTATATTTCTATTAATGATATTAGAGAGCCTGTCTATCTCTACAAAGCTCAGAGTCATAAAGACGGACTTTCTCTTTGTAGATGTCGTAGTGGATCTAGAGTTTAATTTTTCTCCATCTTCATTCTGCTTTTCTACATTCTCTCCTCTGATGTCCCACGGTTGTAGCATTTCACCATGGGGCTGTTTGCCAGAAATAATTTTAGTCCTAACAGGTGCTATTGCATCTAAGATCCGGCATGTTTTGGAATTAAAATGATCAAGACATTCATCAACACATCCTACCTAATGAAAGTAAGACAGTGTGTGGTATATGGGGGCTCAGGATCAGCACATATGCTGCCCCAGGATGTGAGGGGTCTGCAGAAAACCTCTCCGCCCTCCTTTTGACCTGTGAGGTGTACAGGTCCTCCATGGAGGGCAGGCTGGCACCGATGATTGTTCCTGCAGTCCTGACTGTCTGCTGGAGTCCGTTCCAGACTTCCGTTCCAGGGAGAAGAGCAATGGGGAGAGCCCATCATATATAATATCATCCAACCATGAGTATGTTCACATTACAAAAGGCAGACTTCTAAAGTGCACCTCCATCAGATCATGGACAGAGGATTTGGCAACACTCTACGATACAGCCCATGAGTTATTGAGGACACAGTTATTTCATTATATGAATCAAACACCAATAAAATACAGGCCTGTACCAACCCTTTAGAATACAAGTAGATACAGTGGAAGATATGACTACGCCTAACAAGGATGTGAAATCAATTTATGCCTATACTGCTGTTTAAGCTTGAAAGGAAGTACTGATAAAAATGCTTGGGGTGAAAAAACTCAAGGTCTAACTGATTTAAATGTAACATTTACAGTTACTGAGGGCAAGAGTGCATGTTTGAGTCTGTAGTAAATGACAACAGATTTTCCAGCAAGCTGACATGTTAAGTGGCAAGGCTAATTACACATCCTAATATGAATGAAAGTACTGCTATATTAAAAACATGGCAAGAAATAAAAAGCAACAGTAACATTATACAAATGTCCCCCAAGCATCCACCATGTCCACAACCATGTTCTGAGTCTCACTTTAATATAAGTGTTCTAACAGCATGTACTGTATATGGCTGATGACTGTACTTAAAGCATTATCCATGACAGGATTCCTGACAGCTTGGTTGGCATATTCTTTTTTTTTTTTTTACTTTAAATAAATAAATAAAACAAAAGCATTCTTTTTTTAAAAATGTATTTTTATTTTTTAATTTGATTGATTGATCAACACTATAATACCTTAGTCTCTGAAGATGAGACTAAAGCCTGTCAATCTGTTAACAGGAATATCTACTACTTATAGGACTGACCTTTGACTGGTCATGAATTATCACTGGACTGTGAAAATCAAATGATTTGAGTCACACTGGTCAACAAACATCTTAATGTCAGAGTGATATTTAGTTGTATCGCCTTGCATGTCAAGTAGACTCAAAATAATCGTATCATCTGAGCACATCATAACAGTTATGAGGGTGCCTGCTTTGAGCACTCATTTGTATCAAGTATAAAAAGGACCGGTGAGCTGACACAGCCCTGTGGTACCCCAGTACTAATAGTTTTTGTATATAAGTCATTGTTATTTTCACACACAGGCTTCTATTTTTTAAAAAGGAGCAATACCATTTTCTAAGTAATGGATTTACATTCAGCTGTTTTTACTTCTTGATTAAAAGAAAAGGTTGTATTAACATCTGAGCTAAAATCAATAAAAAGCTGTCCAGCATAGGGTCCTCTGGGTATTTTAGCACCAAATGCGTAGTGCTATTTATCTCACCATCTGTATTCTTCTTTTGTTTGTATCCAAACTGTATTGGGTCTAATTTGCCGTGAATATCAGCCTTTAACATGGGCAACACACATTTTTCAAAGCACTTCAGAACAACTAACATGAGAGCCACTTGTCTGAAGTTGTTGGATGTGGTGTCTTAGGAA